AAACAGGTCCATGAATTTATTTATTAAAAAATTCTTACAAGAATTTAATTGTAATTTGATTTTTAATTGTTACAAACTTAAACAAATATATTAATTAAAATAAGATCTAGGGGCTCCTGGGTGGCTCAGTTGGTTAAGTGTCTGACTCTTGATTTTGGTTCAGGTCATGATCTTATGGTTTGTGACTTCGAGCCTCATAGTGGGTTCTGCACTAACAGCAGGGAGCCTGCTTGGGATTCTTTCTCTCCGTTCCTCTCTGCCCCTCCCCTCTCACTGGCTTTCTCTTTCTCAAAATTAAAACAACAACAACAACAACAAACATTTAAAATAAAAAAAAATAAATTAAGATCTAGAGGTAAATTCTAACCCCACCAGCTTTGGTCTTACCGTCTCATGACTTTTCTGAGACTATAAACGTCTAAATAAATATCTAATTCACACATTGCTGGTAAAGGTTTATATCACAGTGGAAGAATCCCTATGTCAGTAATCTATACTACTGAGGAATGGAAGAAATGAACAAGGGTAATGCTGGCCTTGAGGAGGTTTTAAGGAGGTAACTGAAAAGAAGGATTAATGAGAGATAGAGAGGAGGAAGGGGAGGGAGAATGAGAGGGAAAGATGAAAGGAGAGGGAGAAGGAGAAAGGGTGGGAGAGGGAAGGAAAGGCGGACTCGGATGGGAAGCCACTGAGTAATGTTAAATAGGTTAGGGGCGCCTGGGTGGCTCAGTTGGTTAAGCAACTGATTCTTGGTTTCTGCTCAGGTCACAATTTCACCACGTGCTGGGCTCCATGCTAACAGCACGGAGCCTGCTTGGGATTCTCTCTTTTCTCTCTCTCTGCCCTTCCCTGCTCAAGAGCATGCTCTCCATCTCTCTCTATCTCTCTCTATCAAAATAATAATAATAATAATAAAAGGGATTAATACAGAGGAGAATCGCAGAAGGGGAGAGTACAATTGTCAATATTAGACCGGTTATAATCTGTGTTTTGTTGGGGAGTGGCTTGAAGAAGGGTTATGGAAATGTGAGAAAGGAAAATCACAATTGTATTTAGGACGTGTAGATTGGTTCCATATCAGTGAAGCAAATTATAGGAATTTTTAAGAATGGAGTGTAGGAAAAACAGTGACACTCATTTAATTTAGTACTGTTTTCTCCTCTGCTACAAAGCATTTTGTATTCAACCCAAACTGCAGTATATCATATACATTTAATAACTGAAATTATTTTAACCTACAAGAAGTATATTTGCAGTCATTCCCATGAATGAGGTTGATGTTTCCAGATTTGCTCAGGAACTCTGAATTTTAACAAAGAAATGACATATATGACAATAAAAACAATATTGAAAATAAACACAATTTTCATATAGATTATTTATCACTTTTTATTTCCACTATTGCACATAAACTGTACCTTTTCTACAAATTAATTTAACCACATGACCTCATGCAGCACAATTATACATTTATGTTTAATTTTCAAAGTACTCTTAAAAACTGTGTCACATTCTTATCAACTTTACTCCTTTATTGTTTCTTCTTGCTTTGCTCATTTTTCTCTTTTCTATTCAGTAGAAAGTCAATGAAAAGTCTTATCACTTATTTTTTCTCAAAAAGCACTATACTTAAATGACTTACAAACGTTAATTTAAATGGAGCAAATATGAATTCTCTTAGTAATAAAGAAAATAATAGAAAATATTTTACATCAACAGTTAATAAAATGTATGTATGAAAATAAGTAAATTTACAAAGTAAAATTGAGGTACAGAAGAGTCAATATTGTGTATGCTATATATTTAAAATCTATATACGCATGTATATTTAAAGTTATACCTATATTTTATATTTATACACATTTTATATATTTTTATTTATACATATTTATCATCTGTGCCAATAAAACATTGATGTCTAAGTGTCAACCTGGGAAAATGTGTGTTACTTTTTAACACAATTGAAAACATGGCTAAGTATAGTCTTTACATTACATCAAAATGGCTTGATCTTTGAAAGTAAATATTTAGTTATATAAATCAATTTTCGTAAATATTTACCTATTATACATCCTCACTAAAGCAGTAAGAACAGACCTTTTCCCTTTTTAGCTTATGAAAGAGTCATAAAAAGAGTCAAATTTTTGAACAATTTTATTTTGTTGCATTTTTTGATTTAATTTTTTGAGACTTCTCTTTCTTAAGGAGATTAAAAAGGATTTATGAAATTATGATATAACGTTATTAAAATTGATTTACATAATAAAGAAAACCAGTCTGAAATGTGTATCTCCAAGTATAAAAAGTACATTTTTCTTCCTGCAGTGGATGAGTAATTGTCCATTTTGCTGGCATAAAATTTGTCATTTAAATAAAGTTCAGTGTCCATAACTAACGTTCACTCCTTCATTCAACAGGTACTGATGGGGAAGTCACTAAATCTGAGAGCCCACTCTGGATTCTGGGTATAAAGCAGTAAACAAAACAGATCCAATCCCTGAACTGAAGCAGCTTCCACTTAGTTGGGAAAGACAGATGATAAATGCAAAATCACTGACAGCAGCTATAAATTCAAGCTTGAAAAGCGTAAAGCAGGGTACAGGGATACAAGTCATTACTGCACGTGGTGGCTCTTATAATGAGGTGGTCAAAAAACGTTTCTCTGACAGGATGAAATTTCAGCAGACTCTTGAATGAAGCAGGAAATGAACCATGTAGTGTCTGAGTGAAGCTTGTTCCAGAAAGATTGGGCAGCAGCTGCAAGGAATCCAGTCGGTTGAGTGCACTAATGAAAGGGTTCCCAGCCAGAAATGAAGTCAAAGGTGCAGAGAAAGGGCCCTTCTTGGAAAGCCCAATAGGCCAGTCAGTCCAAGGACTCGAATTAGATCATGGTATGGGAAAGTCCAGGGTGACTTTAGATCTAAATTACCTCTATCCTTGTAAAGCTGGGATACTGTGGTGTTCTGAGAATAATGACTAGGAAGTAAGGATAGAAATAGACCAGTTACAAACCTACAGAAATAATCCCAGGAACCGTTGATGGAGGTATGGACCATGCCTTGCATAGTAATTGAGGTTGTGAGAAATGGTGAGATTCTGGCGACATTTTAAAGGGACAGCCAAAAAATATTTTCATAAAAATTCTGATCATCCAGCAAATTACCAAAGAATTGAATAGATTTGTTCTTAGTGTTGTAATTTGTCTTAATGTCTAAGTGAGGAAAACCTAGAGGCAACCTTTTGGAAAGGACAATTGTAGCTTGCAGAGTTCATCTATTAAATCTCAAAAAAAGACAAATATCGCAGGAGATCACTTCTGTAACAAAATTCTAAAATTACCTATCATCTGTCTACCTACCTACTTACATACCTACCTACATATCTATCTGCTGTATGTATTATATTTTGTGTATTTGTACAAATATGTACGTGTAGAATTATGACTTGATTAAACATGGCAGAATGATTTCTTGAAAATAAAACCATTAGAAAAATTATGTTGAATAGAGCCCATGAGAAACTCAAAATTAATTTAAACAACTGCAGTTCTTTAGAGTTTTGGGGGAGGGGTGAAGAATGTATTATAGAATTAGTGGTGTGTATATTCAGTAAGTTCTCAGAAAAGTTTACCTTGTAGTTACCTTTAGGAGTCATAGAAAAATTAGGTGTGTGATGATAAATAAATATGTAAACGTCAATAGCACTATTCCAGTTACATGGTGATCTTTAAATTATTTTCTTAAAAAATCTCCCTTCAACATCTCAGCATAAAATTGTAAAAAAGGGTTTTAATTAAAACCAAATTCATGCAGGAATTATGTTGTTAATGCATTTAGAAAGTCCAAAATATATTCTACCTTTGAATATGTAGCCATTTGATAAATATCAGTTACTTTAACTGCTTGGCTAACATTGAGTAAGATATTTTGTTTACCGAGTTTTTTTTTTCTGAACTCAATAAACAAAATACTGGGTGTTGTATGTAAGTGATGAATCACTAAATTGTCCTCCTGAAACCAACACTACACTATATTTAACTGGAATTTAAATGACATCTTAAAATAAAATAAA